ATTTGTGCACACTGGGGTGCAGGTTGTGCAGGGTGTGCAGGGTATGCAGGTTGTGCAGAGTGTGCAGGGTATGCAGGTTATGAAGGGTGTGTAGGGTGTGCAGGTTGTGCAGGTTGTGCAGGGTGTGCAGTGTGTGCAGGGTGTGCAGGTTGTGCAAATTGTGCAGGTTGTGCAGGGTGTGCAGGGGTGTGCAGGGTGTGCAGGGTGGGGAGGGGGAAAGTGAACATGCTGATTCAATCGATAATATATTATTGACAGGACCGGGCGGAGCCGGGTTTGCCAGCTCGTTCCAGATAAAGTTGTTTTAGAAGAATTTATAACTAAATCCCGCAAGTCCCGCAAATCCCGCGATTTTGGCCAAATTCCACCGCTACAACTCTATCTTGGATAAAGATCAAAGAGGACTTCGTAGAGTTTTGCGAGAGTTGAAGGAGACTTCGTTTTTTGCATTGGAAAGCCAGTTCTTGCCAAGCCCTCACAAGAGGTGATGATTCTACTTTAATTCGCTTGATACTCGACTTCACAAACAGCGAGGAGCACACTGAGGAATGAAAATCACTAAACCATAATGCTCCGTAGTTGCCAACTTCGCAATTTAGTGCTTGACGCACTTGCAGCTGGTGTTAGCTTCTGGAATCAAAGCATCAAATTTCTAAGCAACACATCTAGGAGCTTTTTGGACTAATCCCATAAGAAGGCTCTTATTGTATTCAATGCAGAAATCTTGCTTTCTTGGAAATCTTTCTTGCAATCTTGGAAACCAAACCCAAGCCAAAGTTTGGACGAAGTATAAGTGTTGTTGAAACGCCGACAAACGAGAACTCAAGCTGAAAGCAAGTCTGGAAGCGTATCGTTACGTGCGGGCTGCCAATTGGAAAACGTCGCGCGCGACAGGCTGCCAGTGACCGCACTCGGAGAATTCAGCCAGCATGATCCGCAACACATAGTTTTTCAGTTTCTCATCCTTTTTTGAGGTTCACAGACTATTCTTATATTAGTTTTACTTAATTATTTGAAGTTCTGCCACAAAAGTTGTAAAATGAGCTATTAAAGGACAAAAAAGACACAAATTGAAGGAGGTAAAACACTAACAATATGGAAGAAGCATTGGTAATCTAGTGGTATAAATCTGACAAGTTTTCTACACTGCTGCTTCCACTGCGCAGTTACTGTAACGCCGCGTTGCGACGTTTTCCATTTGGCAGCCCGCACGTAACGAGCGCCCCCCCACAACGACTCTACGTCTCTACCTTGCATGCATCTCGTACTCGCCCGAGCCTACCATAAGATTCGAGCCACTTAGGTGAGGGGGGGGGGGGGGGATTCGTAGGCTTCGTAGACCCCTTTCGCGCTGCAAACTTTAATGTTTTAATATTTAGATGGGGAACTTGCTGATTAGATTATTGTCCTAGTCCCTCTCAAATAAGTCCTGTTCTACGTTGAGAAAATCGCGCTCAAAGTGGTGCGCGAGGGGCGATTCTGCATGCGTTGGAAGACTTGTCTGTTCCCCCTTCGCAGCTAATGTAGCACGAGCCGTTTGTGTTAGTTTGCGCACTTGCAGCGCTGGGGATCTGCGTTGCATATGCGCACGTCGGAGAGAGCGAACAGATTGAGGAGGGGGCAGACAAATAGGCTGTAGACGTGACGCAAAACCCTAATCAGGCGCACTTCCGTCATACCAGTTTTGGCCTGGTTTGGGATTTGGACAGTTCGTAGACTGACAGACTGTAGCTCGTCCGTGTTGCTTACAGGGAACTTTTTGAAAACTGATTTCGGAATTTCTATGCCGATGAGCCACTTGCCTTCATTCGTGCCTCATACATTCACATCAGATATTGCAATCAAATTTTCAGATGGTTGGACCATATCTTCATAAGATATACAACACAGTTTATGGGGATCATTTATCAAACAACCATAAAAAAGATGGTCAAATTAAAATTCTCGCCCCTGTTTGTACAACTGACGTCGTGGGCTCTCGAAGAAGTCGACGTTACTGATAGTGTTTTTCCAAACATAAATAGGTCGATCCACGAAGGATACTAAGCAGCTCCCTTTAGAGCAGTTTCTAGATTCTTCCAGTTCCATTATTAGCAAAGAATTGTCTCCAACTCGTAGGAAAGCTGCGGGCACATACAGGGTAATCTGAAAACATAGCTTTACTCCATAGTAAATTTTGGACATTGTTATTCACCTGTGGTCCTTGCGTAGCCCAAAATCGTCCCAGATTATTCCCATTAAGTATGGCAACACCTTTACCCCAGCCGGTTGTGCTCAAAAATGTATCTTTCGGCGAAGCGATAACTTTGAAAGTACCATGGTAGACTCCATGTCGGCCTGCTTCTTGCTGGAAAAATCACCTTTACTCCAATGACTGACTGCTGAAGGGATATGCTGGAGGAGAGGGGTTGGAGGGAGAGGGGTGCAGAAAATTTACCACGTTTGATGAGTTCGATATTGATGGGTATTTGTTGACGTAATCATGAATAATGCTTAGTTTGCACTGTTTCCAGTCATGCAGTGGTTTTCCATCTAATTCCACTTCTGATAGAATGCCCTACAAAAAAGATGTTCCTTTAACTGGTATTATGCATCAAATACAAAATGAGCCATCCTGACACAAAGTAAGACAAAATAGGGCGTGGCCTTTTGTACAAGGATCAAAAGCACAACGTAAAAAACCTTACAAAACTTTTTGAAAACATCGCTCACAGAGCAAGAAGACGTTTTTTGGATAAATTGCACACTATTTTTTAGCTTCGGCCCAACAAAAATCCTAGCGATTGCGACAAGCCTTTCACGTGCCTATCCTACCGTATCAGCCAATCCCCACCTCAAGAATACATACCGCAGTACTCAACAGCTTACTAACCTTGTAATCGTTGATCGTTTCATATGTTTGTCGTCCTTGGTTCTCGACCAGAATGCCAAGTTCATCTCCTTGTTTGCAGCCATGCAAGTTTAAGGTGTGTACAGATTTACCATTGTACGAGTTTACCAAGGTACCCTATCAAATGATTTTACAAAATTTTGCACATCTCAAAATTATTGCTTACCACACGGTTCTTGTTAAGGGTGACATATCCAAAATCTTTGAGCTGTTTCACTTCAAGCTTTTTGCCGCAGGTATTCAATTTCTAAAATTATAAAAACTTTGGAGTGAAAAACAAGCAAAAATTTAAACGCTTATATTTTTACCTTGGTATAGAGCACAAAACCGAAGGGTTGATCTAGCTGTTCGAAGGTTAGGGGTGATGGAGCTGTGACGCAGTTTGCTTCATTCGCAACTTGGGTAAGATCATCAACCGGTTCCATCTTCACATGACCGTAGGCCATTTTTCTAAACCAGCATTGTAATATTTCCGATGTATTGATATCCCACACCAAAAACCTCCAGAAAATTTTCGAGTGGAGGGTGAGGGGGAGGGCGTAAAGGGCGACAGCAGCGAAAATTTTCAAGCTGCATAAAAGATTTATGAGGTGCTAAAATTTTCCGCAAGCCTGTGGACAACTCTGTTTCAGTTCATAGAAAAATTGTGGTAATCAATTGCAAAAATAGTCTGACGTTTTATAGCTTTTGTATGCCATTGAAAAAAATCTAGCAAATTTCTAGATAACTTCTCGGGGGGGGGGGGGGGAAGGGAGGGGGAGGATTCTTCCTCTGGCATTATTTTCGCCCTTTCTACTTTTTTTCACGCTATATTTGAGGACTTCTAACTTCTGACTTACGGATTATCCTCCGGAACATCCAACGGAGCATTCTTCCAGTTTTTAAGACCCTTCATCCAAGTTCGAATAGCCAGATATTTGGGTGTCACATCGCCAGCTTCAGATATGGGGGCGAAATAATCATAAGAGGTGATGCACTGCAAATAAAAATTATTTATGTGACCACAAATTGTTAAATTGAGAAAAAAGTAAAACTCGTGTGCCTACAGGTGCATTAGTCTCAGCTCCATTCCAGAAACCAAAATTTGTTCCACCATGAATCATATAGAAGTTGATATTTGCTCCAAGTCCATACATATCTGGAAAATATGCAAATTTCGATGATTGAATTTTTGTAAAGTTTTTGAGTTTTGATGGGAAAACAGGCGAAAATTTGTAAAAAAAATTGGCAACCTCACGTTTTGCAGACTTTACAATGTCATCCGGTGACGGAAGCTTGGCCGTCTTTTGACCCCATAATACCAGCCAACCAGGGTAGAATTCGGAATTTACTAGTGGTCCATGACCTGAAGTAGCCCTATGGGTATCATTAGGCTAGTCCCTACGCATTCTTACCATCAGGGAAATATTTTTTCTCTGCTTCAAATGAACCATTAATACTCCTTTCAGACGTTGGCCCAAAGTCAACAGTTGTCAGAGTGTCAGGTATAGCCCCACATTTAAGGTAAGTGCTGGCGCCACCATCAGCTAAAAACACCATACATTAAAATAACGATATATGTAAGTTCAATGCTCACTCGTGTACAGCACAGCTTCATCGCCAAGATATTCCAGGAATAAATCCCTTAGCCAAGCTGTATATTCTCTGAAAATCATTCTTTATAGAGAACTCGAAGGCTCAAATTGATCTACTGTAGTATCACGCACCCATGCGAGAATCTTCAGCGCACTCAAGTAAAAAATATATATTCTATACTGAGAAGCTGACATCTAATTTAGAACTTATTGCAGCAGTCTTCAGCGCGCGACCGACTCAAAGTGGCAGTTGCTAAGCGGTGCGTGCGCGTTTATTGCGCGAACATCACACACAGATGATATTGGAATTATAAACAAGTGAAGTGCCATCACCCAAGTTTTTGGTAGAAGTGAAAAGTACATCAAATCTTCGGTTTTATTCATTTCAACCACTTCTTAGAATCTCATCAAATAGCTCAAAAATCATAGAACTGCAAACTGCCAGACGTAGTTGATTAGTTAAATTAGTGACTTTTCAGTAATTCGGATTATTGTATTTATTGCCTATAATTTTGGATTTTGAAAGTTACTTACTTGTCGCAAGCGCTATAGCTTCCATATTCATTCTCAACTTGTATCATCAGTACAGGTCCACCATGTTGTCGAAGCATGGGCTCAATCTTAGGTAAAAGCACTGAGAACCATTTTGTTACGGCATCTTTGAAACTAAAAAACAATCTAAAATCCCTAGAATTTCTAAAAAATATAATATTGTTGAACCCTTTTTCTCTTGTCCTCATCATTGTAATATTTTTCTTTAGCAGCCACCATGGTAAACCACCATTCTCCCATTCAGCACAGACGTAAGGTCCTAGAAGGAATGGGGTTTAGAAGATGCACGAGGCAACGAATGTAAAATCCAAAGTTACCTATTCTTAGCAATGAGTACATTCCCAGATCATGGGCAATTCGGGAAAATTCCGTAAAATTGCGCCAATCAGAAAAATCATACCTAAATATTATTGAGTATAGCCAAAGTAGATAGGTTTCTTGAAATAATTCACTTACTCGCCTTCGTTAATTTCATGGAAATTCCATGGAATGTAATATTGGATTGCATTGAATCCCAGCGCTCTTACTCTGGCAAGCCTGAAAACTAAATCTTTTTTTTTGAAGATTCCTATTTTCTTCAAGCCTCACCTATCCATCCATTGGCTTGGATGAATTCTAAAATAATGAATAGATCCGGAGATGTAGCGAAATGGTTCTCCATCCAGTAAAAATTGATTCCTCGGGAAATCGACGGCAAATGAGGGAGATTCACTGCTTATTACATCAAGAAATAAAGTTCAAAAACTTGGGAAAAAACTTACTTGAGAAGTTCTTGCTTCATCCAGGTATGACTGAATTGAATTAGTGAGAAGAAAGTGAGGAATGTTACCAACATAAGAAAAGGGGGTCCAAAAGCCATGGCACAATGAGAGGAATCGATTTATATACAATCGTCGAGTGTTAGCTGACCCGATGTGATGATCCAACTGGCACCTATTTATCGTCAAGAGCGATCAGCCATTAGCTATCACAGCTGCAAAATAGCTCGAGGTGTAAGGTAAGCGCTTGGAAGGTGTGGAACAAATAATCTGTTCAAATGAAAACTATTCTTAGGAGTAGAATCATAGGAATATTAACAGCGATTTGAATCAAATCAAAACTTTGAGATTTGAAATTTGGATTTTGAGATAAAAAGATTTTTCTTAGGTTGATACATAAATCTTGCCACTAAAAACTTGCAGAATTCATAATGCTCCTCAACTTCAGTGAAGTCTTTTATTTCAATTATTAGACTATAATTTATAATGCCATATCACAGTGGCAAAATATAATAAGAAACACTCAAAAAAAGACTTTTCAAATTCTGTTAGCTGAAATTACTAAAACGTCTACAAAATTCTAGCTTTGCTTTTGGTTTTGCGGGAAGACTTTTTTGCTTGAGAGCAATTTGCGCTGATAGGAGTATTAGTTATACAGGGTGTCTCAAAAGTGAGTACACACTTTTCAATCGTCAATATCGCTCTTCCCATTGGGTCTTTTTTTTGCCAGTTAAGCACCATTTTGTAGAGAAGGCTTCAACTTAGATTTACAGTATCGATCGAATCACCGATTGCTCTTTGTTACTGTAGGATTACGGTAAGAACTTCCAGCATATGGAACCATTGTGAGATACGTCATCTGACGAAAATTTTTTTCAAAAAATCTGAAAAATCGCATACTAGGGTTTCCGCACACTCTGATTCCACTAAACAACTTTTTACAAGTGTTTTCAGCTTTTTGACGGTGTAATCACAACTCTGACAAATACTGGGAAATAGGTTATTACGGTTTACCTGGGATAAATTTGAAAAGAAGTATCACAAAAAAGTGAAAGTTTCATATTCGAAATCAGCGGCTTCCACTACCATAGTATAAAAGTTTTTGGCTTGTTTGGTCTTGTTCCGAGGAAGAATATGACTCCAATGGCCTAAAATCCTTGCCGAGAGTTCCTACAGTAAACCTACAGTAATGAAGAGAGATCGCTGATTCACTCGATTTTGTAAATCTAAGTTGAAGCCTTCTCTACACAATGTTACTTAAATGGTGAAAAAAGACACACTAAGAAGAGAGATATTGACGATTTAAAAGTGTGCACTTACTTTTGGGACACTCTGTATTTTTTGAAGTCTTTCACTTGACTTTTTGCTTCCAATACCAAAAAAATACCTCTAATATTTGTAATAAGATTTAATGAATTTTCGGAGACAGTCCCTTTTCGAAGCTAAGAAATTCATATAGTGCTTTTATAAAACCTTATGTATTGCCTAAACAAACATAAAATCTAGGTAGCGCAGTTGTCTCGTAAACTCCTTCTAATTAACTAGCTATTGATAAAAAGTACAAACAAATAAGCTTATCTCGGAGCTTTATCAGATTTCTTTCTATGAAATGAACACATTACACGCTGCCCGTAACACATACCAAATGCTCAGAAGACTAGAAACGAAAGACAGGGTGCCTCAAAGGTAAGAACATACTTGATCGTCATACTTCTACCTAATCTTCTACTAATCTTCATTCGTATATGGTAAATTTTCCCCTATTTTATACCCATGACTAGTTTTACTTTCCAGGAAAACTCGAATTCTATTGCTGCGGTTCGTAGACACGGTGATTTCGAAGAAAAAGACTCTCGTACACTTCGAAAAAGGTTAAAATGGTAGGGTATTAGTAGTGAAGTTTCTAAAGAACGTCGAGAGATTCGCTTATCGTAACATTTGAGCGGGGATGACGGAGTATAGATGTTATGAATGTTAGATGCATAAGCTATTTAGAAACAGAATTTTCAAAACCTTGAAGGCTTTCTGAGACGAATTTTGAACACTAGCAAGAAGGCACGCGCTGTACTTGATCCGCTTGATCCGCTTCGCCATTGATCAATTTGCTGATTAGCGATGACCAATAGCGAAGTGGATGAAGCGGATCAAGTATGGAGCGTGCCTAAGGCTCAAACCTCTCTTCAAACTACATACCGTAGCTACATTAACAAGGAATGGTCGGCGAATTGTTCTGTATTGAAGAACTAACTGAAGAGCCAGCATTGCAAAGGACACCCAAAGGTTCACGATGCAAAAATTGCGAAAAAATGCCGCTTTTCTAGCTATACGTACATTCCCAGTGCAAAGTATTATGGTAGACTTAGCCCTTTAACAAAAAAGAAAATAGAGCAAGTGAGATTATTATGCCATAAATGACGGACGTAGCCGATCATGCCAGCTAGAATTGAATATTTGGCACTAGGTTCTTGTGCCGACAGAGTCTGAATCCTCTGTTTTGCTGTCAATCCGCGCTACTCTGCACTTGCAGTGCCCAATTAAGTCTCACTCCAAAATTCGATTCTCTGGTTTCCTTTCTTCTTGACTTTGATCCCGAAAGTGACTTATCTATGTAATTTATTGAGTGCTCAAAATACTCCTGAAACTTAGATCAACTAGAATTTGCAGAATAATGAGAGTATTTTTCTCTATTGTTTGACACCATTCCAAGCTTTTCAGGTATACTAAGAACTTTCTGGCGGCCTGCCAGCCTCGATGACCTTGATGACGTGTGATGTAATCAAATTTCAAGCAATTCTTGGCTAGGGCATTTGTGGTGGTTATAAGCTTTATTGTAGCCTTAGGAGGATGGTTGATACCTGTAGTGGAGTATGGTGGCTCCTGGTTTGTTATTGGAACACATAAGCTATTAAAGCTTTATTGAACAGACGACATGCACCCATGCATGCAGTGGTAGAATGCTGAAAAGGCGTGGTAAAGTAGTATCACAAACGTCTAGGCAATAATACACTAATATCACAGCAGGTCATGCTTATGGCATGACCTTTACGGTACTTAGGAGAAGTAATGATAAGTTGTAAGGAAGGTGCCGACAAAGTCGGTACGCTCCGGCCCGCGAGGGACATGGAGAGATCGAAAATGTGCATATAACGAATATAAATAACACGGATGTACAGAAATACTCATATTTGTCGGGATCTCGTAGTGGACGTTCCTGAGTAGCTAGGCAGATAGGATCGGAGTCCAGGTTGATGTAGTCATGACAGCTGGCGTAAGATGGTGAGGAAGTATACAGTGGTAAGGCAGAATGTGATAAACGACGTTTTAGTAACTTCTTATTTATTTATTTTTATTTATTGTTACATATGGTGACCTCTACGTGGAAAATCAGAGAACAAAAACAAAAATGTAACACAACAAGAGAACAATAGAACAACGCACATTACAATATGAATAAAACAAAAACCAGCTTGAGGTATGAAAGATCAAACGCAGCTTTTTGATTGTAAGTAGCTCTTAATGTTTGTTTCGAAGGTAGAAAGCTTGACTGTCAGCATCCCATTTCTTACCATATGATCAAGATCAGGTAAAACGCGGCAAGTATAAAAGTTTACTTTAACTCTGGACTTTGCTCTTGGTATCACTAGTTTCATACGTCCACCCCGTGTATCAGACTTTCGGACATGAAAGTAATCATTAACATTTAGTCTACAATCTCCGAATATGATTTTATGCGCCATGATCAAATCAAGCATACGCCTTCTGTGGGCTAATGTTGGAAGTTTGAGATTCAGATTACGGGTCCGTCTATCAGGGATCTGGTCATATACCTAGTAGATCTAATAAGTAGTTTTCGCTTGAAGTTTTTTTGAACCTTCTCAAGGTAATCGACTGTTTTGCGCAAGTGAGGGCTGTAGATGACAGTACCCTATTCAAGCATAGGCGTTATGAAAGTCTTATAAGCCTTTAGAAACACTTCAACCCTGTTGCAGGAGAGAGCCCTGAACAAGTTATTAACAGCTCTCATAGCCTTATCAGCAATGAGCTCACAATGTTCATCGAATGTAAGGTCGTTTTTGACTAGGAAACACAGGTCACGTATTGACTCAACTATTTCAAGTTCTTTCCCTCCCACGGAATAATGAAAGTTTCCTTTATTTGGACCTATATGAAGCACCTTGGTTTTCTCTAGGGAGATAGGCAATTCCCACTGCAGCGACCAGTTATAAACGCCATTCAACGCATCCTGCAGCAGCCTGTATCCACTATTATCCATAACAACTCCGTACAGTTTAAAGTCACCGGCAAAAGCAGTGCAACACGCCGCATAAGAAAATGGTATAAAGGGAAGATCATACGTGTAAATATTGAACAATATCGGTGAGAAGACACCTCCCTGCGGTACTCCACTATTCATTTTTCTAGGTCTGGAGAATGAGTTGTTTATTCGTACTAGAAAGGTTCTGTCAGTCAGAAAGGCTCTTATCCAAACTACAATCCGCGGGTCTATACCCACAGCTTCAAGCTTTTGCAAGAGTTTACTATGTGGGACTTTATCAAAAGCCTTAGCGAAATCTAAGTAAATAACATCCGTACTCAATCCGCTTTCTAAATGCACCGTCCATTCATTGAGGGATTTGAGCAAGCCGTGGTGGTGGACCTGCCTTTCTGGAACCCATGTTGCGCAGGCTCAACAACATTGTTATCCTCCAAATGCTTCACTATGCTTTTCTCTAAAAAATTTCGAACAAGCGCGAAAATATTGAAGTAATTTTAATAGGTCTGAAGTTCTTTGGACAAGTATGGGGTTTTCTCTTAGGAATTGGCGAAACAAAAGACGTTCTCCACCTCTCAGGAACTTCCGCTCTCATCATGCTCGAATTGAAAATGTATTCCAAGGGG